GATCGCGCAGGTGTACCAGGCGCCGTCAGAGCGAAGCAGAAATAAGCAGCAAGCCACGACGAAGGCTGGCGGGCATACGCGAAGCGTCAAGAACTGTCCCGATCCTACTCTGCAGGAGCGGCTGAGCTTGGAGACGTGCGCCACGGCACCGTCCAGGGACCTCTCCAAGGGCTCCCAGCTTCGCGCTTCGCGCTGCGCGAAGCGCGAAGTGCGAATACCTTCGCACTCTTGCGCCGCCTCCCAGGGGAGAAGAGGAGGATGAGGAAGAATCGGAGCCGAACCGCGAAGAGCGGATAACTTCGCGCCCTCGAGGGCGCCCTTGCCTCTCTGTAGGCAACAAAACATGAGACGGGCATGGCCATGAACGAATTTCGCCCTCCCCCTCATCCCCGTGTTGTCGGTCCCCATGCCTTCGCCCGGGTTGCAGCCCAGGTCCCCGGCGGGGGTCGTGCACTGATCCTGCGAGTTGCAGGAGCCGTCCGTGATGCAGTGGCCGTCGCAGCTCCCGTAGCAGCACTGGCCCTCCCCCCCGCTCCCTCCACCCCCCCTAAGGGGGGGGTGTCTGGCTCTGGACCTCTGCTTAATGCGACTGTTTGCGGCAGTGCGTCCTATGGTGCGCCTGAAACAGGCGCCCAAAACAGCCAAGATCTACTCCATGGAGGGTGGGGGGGAGGGGGGGGGTGCGACGGCCCGCGCCGATCAGCACAACAATGAATAAAGAACGATCACAATGCCCCTCCCAGAACTTTCCGCCCCCCCCACCCCTCCCACCCCGAAGGCCCCTCCTGACCCGCGCCGCGTCCACCTCCACCCCTCAAAGCATCCCATGCCGTGCCGTGCCTCATCAACGTTGCCCTTCTCGGTTTTCGGGCCACTGATCGGCTCTTCGGCGGCCGTTCGGGACAGTTTGGGCAACCCCACTGGCAAGCCGCCGAGAGTCGACGAGAGCGCCCGAAAACCTCGGGCCTCGAACCCGAAGCTTTCCCCTCCGCCCGCTTCCCGAAGAGATCCCAGAATCGAATCGGTAAACTGGATCGGCGATCGAAATGAATCGGATCGGCGGATATCGGCAGGCTGGTGTGCGTCCAATCAGACATCGGAAATCTGATCGAATCTGAATCGAAAGCATAATCGAAATCGGAATCGAAATCGGAATCAGAACCGGAATCAGAGTCCCAAGTCGAATCGACTCGGCATCGGAAGCCATCGACATCGGATCGGATCGAATCGGAGGAGCCGAAGTGGACCCTGCTCCCCACCCCGCTGTAGGAACAAGGAAAGGCGACACCAACACCAACAGGGCGAGGAGATGCGCGGAGGCAAGGGGGGTCTGCCTGGTGGTGTGTTCCCCCCCCTCTCGCTCGAGACATCCCCAATCTCTCGCTCGGGGAGGCATCGTGGACCTCCTCGCTGGCGGTGGGCCCCCTGGTGGTGTCGGTATCGCTTATCCTCCCTCCGACGATGGGTCCCCTCCTGGCCCGCGTCGCTCCCGCCGAAGCCGTAGCCGCCGATCCCCGGCAGGCTGTCGCTGCCGAAGCCGCCCCCGCCGCCGACCGACGGGAACGCCAGGGCCGGCCCCGCGGCCGCGCGGCCGGTCCTCGCGAGGCGCCCGACGCGGCCCACGACTGCCGCCGCGGGCCCCGCCGCAGGCGTGGCCCCACGGGGAGCTCCACCGAAGGCCCAGGGCTGAACCTATAAACGGTGTTGTTCGTTTTCGTTCTGTGGTCGTTTTCCCTCGCTTTGCTTTCAATCCGCCTCTGCCGCAAAACAAAGTCGAAACGAGAACGGCCAACGAAATCGCCCAAACACCGCGACGGTCCAGCCCTGGGCCCACGTGGCTGCACTCGCGTGCGCTTCCCTCGCCCAGGACAGCGCTTCGGTGCCCCACAGGGAGCACCGCCGAGGGCCCCGGCGGCGGCCCTGCCCCACCGCGGCGCACCCCTCGCACGTTGCGCGGCCCCGCAGTGCGCTCCGCCGAAGGAGCACCCGTGGCAGCGCCCACATGGCGGCCCCGCCCCACGTCGGCACACCCTTTTCGCGTGCCTCGTGGCCCCATGAGGAGATCCCCCGAAGGCGATACCCGCAACGACGGCACTCAAAACTGCATACGCTTGGGCCCCTTCGCCAGGACAATTCACGTCTTCCCCGACGCCCCCCCAATTGGAATGGGAGGGCAAATTGGATCCTTCGGATTGGGCCAGGACGGTTTGGTGGGCGGTGACGGCCCTCGAGGGCCCCGCCCCTCGAGACGCCACTGGCCATCGCTCGGACGTCCATTCCCTATGTTTTTGTTCGCTTTCGTGCGTGTTTTTTTCGCCAAATGATCCAGGATGCTCCTCGATGGTCCTCGCCGAAGGAAACATGCACACGGCCGAGCGATGCCAAGGCCAGGATCTCAGGGGTGAGCGGTGGCAGGGCGCGGGGAGCTCCTGTTCGCTGCGAGCGGGGGCTCCGAGGCGCCCGGCAGTGCCGCGGCGGCCGCCGCTGGGCTCGGGATCGCCTGGCGCGCTATGAGACGAAGCCAGGACGAGGATAAAATCGGGTGAGGATAAATCTGGAAGAAGAACAAGACCACATAAACATAAAAGATTGGCGCTCCGCGCGGATTTCTTGGATCGGCGCGGGGCCCCCCTGGCGGCCCAACTATTGGCGTCCGGCGCCGCCCCTGGCGCGCTCCGTGCGCCAGGGAGGGGGTACAGCGCGAATCCAAGAAATCCGCGCGGAGAGCCCCAAATTCATGTTTATGCTTCTCAGAGTTTTCGGGAACGCTCTGGAACGGATGCATCCTCGTCCTGGCCCCGTTCGACATTAACTGGACAAGCGCGCAGCACTACTCGCAGAGTAAGAACTCCAGATGGTCTGGCTCCGCCGCGAGGCATCTACGATCCATTGCTTCGGATGCAAACATATACTTGTTTGTTCTGACGTTTGCGAGTAGTCACTGTGCGAGTGGTGGAAAGGCGGGGGGGGCGGAAGGGAAAGGCGAGTGACGACGAGGCGACGTCCTCTGATCAACTGCTCTGCTTTTTTGCTTCGTATGCAAGGTATGGGAATTGCGGCTTGCGGGCGGAAGTGATGAAGGAACACGAAGCGGGACATGGAGAGGCATGAAGCCCGCGGACGAACACCAGACTCCGAGCAGAGGATCTGGCTGGTAGCCAAAGCGCTTGCGCGCAGGTCTCTGCCTCGATGCCCTGCTTGCGCGCTTACAGCTCAAGGGCCGAAGGGTCGCACACTGTTTCTGTGCCCCTGCCTGGCCGGGTGGCTCGCTGCGCGCGCCTAGGCGGGGGCCCCAAGCCTCCGGCCAGTGTTCACATCGGCGGCGGCTCGTCACCGCTGCGAAAGAGGTGGGGCCCCCTGCTGGGCTGCCGCCGGGCGCAGGGCGCCGCGCAGCGGCCGTCCCGACAGATGTTGGCCATCTGGCGCAGGTTGTTGCGGATGCCGTTCGCCCCTACGATCTGATCTCGCACGCACGTGCGAACCCCCATCGCGCGAACGGCCGCGAGGATCTGCGGAAGCGCCTCACGTTCGCTTCCGTCGGTCTCCTCCTCGAGTCGGCCCGACACTTCTCCGATGAATCCGCCCTGATTGCCGCTTCCCGGTGCAAGCCCAGGTCGGGCTTCCTCTCTGGACACGCGCCTACTCGGGGCGCGGCGGTGCTCCCGCTATCGGTGGCGGTTGCCGCCGCCGCTGCTCCCGTAAGAACTCCCGCATGGACTGGCCCTGCGGGCGCACTCACGGCGGTCGCGGACACTGCTCCCCTGAGAATTCTCGCCGGCACTGTCCCCGTACGCGCACTGACGGCGCAGGCAGCATCTGCCCCCCCTGGCCTTCGCCAGCACAGGCCCCGTAGGCGCAGTCGCTGCTCCCGTGGGAGCTCCCGCGGGCACGGCGGTCGCAGCAGCGGCTCGCTCCGAAGCCCCCGCAGAGCCGCAGGCGTCGGCGTCGACGCTAGTGACGGCGTCGTTACCTGACCATCGCTCGGACGTCCATTCTCTGTGTTTTTTTCGGTGTCCTGCGTGTTTTTTTTCGCCAAATGATCAAGGATGCTCCTCGATGGTCCTCGCCGAAGGAAAAATGCACACGTCCGGGCGATGCCAAGCAAGCGTCGGCGTCGACGCGAGTGCTGGCGCCGTTACCGACGTAGGTCGAGGGGAGCGGCAAGAGGGTCTCGTCGAGGGGGCGGCGCCACGGACCGACGCTGGGGCCTTGTCTTCCATGTGAGCGTCAGTTCTGCACGAACGAAATGGGCACGGAGAGAATGGGTACAGTGCCCAACAGCGGATCTTGCTCATCTCGAACAGGACTCGCTGTCCACGCCGCCGCGGCCAGTGTCCATTCGAGATAGAAGGCCGCCTGCCCAACAGCGGCCGCTGTTGGTTTGGGACAGCATCTGGTGTTGGGCATTGTACCCATTCTTTCCGTACCCATTTCGGGCGTCCGGACCAGTCGAGTAAGGCACCGCAGAGATCACGCCCAGAGGCTGCCAGCCGCCGGTGGGGTAGTCCATGTAGTGTCTGCGGTACTCCATAGAGGCGCGGCGGTGGTGTAGCAGAGCGTTTTTCGTAGAAGTGAGTGTCGGCGCGGGCACTGTTGCTGGTGCTCTCGTAGGCGACCCGGTGCCCTGGCGGTGCCGTTGAAGCCGCGATGGTGTCGTTCTGGGTTGGCACCTGGACGGCGACGTAGGTGTGGTTAGGTGATTTGACCTCAATACAATATATCCTGCCTCGGCTTAGAAGCCGTTAGTAGCCTTTGGCGGCCTTTAGTGTATACGTAGCTGCCTTGCGTAGCCTGAGTCGCCTTCCAGCAGCCTTCAGGGACCTCTCGCGGCCTTTGGCAGCTGCTCGTGGCCTTCAGCGGCCTTTAGTAATTAGCAACTGCAAAAATGTAACGAAGTGTAGCGCGAAGGCTCAGTTAGTCCCGCCGCCTTCTGAGAGGGCCTTCGCTCGCCGCCCGAGAGGGCCTCCCGAGAGGGCCTTCTGAGAGGGCTGGGCGCCGCGCTCGTCGCCGCCCGGTGGGGCTGGCGGCCCCGCGTCGGGCGCGGGGGGAAGAGCCCGCGAACGGGAATAGCGACCTCCTCCTCCTCCTCCTCCTCCTCCTCCTCCTCCTCCTCCTCCCCGCCAGTGGGACCTTCGGTGGAGCTCCCTATGGGGCCACGAAGCGCTGCACCGGGCGCAGGATCCGCATGCGAGTTCCGCCACTGGGGCCTTCGATGGAGCTACTTATGGGGCCACGAAACACTGCACTGGGCGCAGGAACCGCAAGCGAGCTCCGCCACTGGGGCCTTTGGTGGAGCTCCTACTACGGGGCCACGAAACGCTGTAATGGGTGGGAGAGACGCATGCGAACTGCGGAGGAGGGAGGAGGAGAAGGGAGGAGGGAGGAGGGATGAGGGAGGAGGGAGGAGGGAGGAGGGAGGAGGGAGGAGGGGGAGGAGGAGGAGGAGGAGGAGGAGGAGGAGGAGGACGAGGCGGCGGAGGAGGAGGAGAGGAGGAGAACGCGTGGCGCTGTCTCTTCAAAACGAAGACCCAACACCACAAATTGATTGGGACAACTACTCTCTGTTGTTTCCTCCTTGCTCCCTCTCCGCGTCCCTTCCGTGCAAAAAAACACTCGCGCATCTTATGCCGTTCCGCCATCTCCTCCGCTTCTCCTATTTTCTCCAAGTCCCCGGGGGAATGATGTCGTCTTGTGTCGGTATGCTTTTGTTCCCTCCTGGCCTCCCCCGGGCTCGTTTATCTTCTGGAGTTCCGCCTTCTCCTCCGCTTCTCCTATGTTCCCAAAGTCCCCGGGTGAATGACGTCTTCTTGTCTCGGTATGCTTTTGCTCCCTCCCGGCCTCCCCTGGGCTCGCCGCCGCGCCGCGCAGCCGCGGCGGCCCGCCGCCCGCGGGCGCGCCCCCCGCGGCCAGGGCCGCGAGGGAGGCCAGCAGCACGGCGCGCATCCGCTCCGCTTTCGGGCTGCGCCGGCGAGGGGGGGCCGCGATAGGTAGGGGGGCACCAAGGGATAGAGGGGCAACGACAGAGGAGGAGGAGGAGGAGGAGGAGGAGGAGGAGGAGGAGGGGGGGGTGCATCGACCTGGAATCGGCGATGCATCGTCGACGGATCGGCGATCGGCCCCCGACAGCGAAGCTGCACCTTCCTGGGCGGGGTGGGGCTGTGAGACCCGCATCGGCGATCCATGTGCGATCGGGGGTCGATGCCTCCCCCCTATGCCTATCGCTCGGACGTCCCTTCCCTGTGTTATTTTCCGGTTTCGTGCGTGTTTTTTTTTCGCCAGATGATCAAGGATGCTCCTCGATGGTCCTCGCCGAAGGAAATAATGCACACGTCCGAGCGATGCCAAGCATGAGGAGAGGGGGAGGGGGCCAAGAGAGAGGTGCTGCGGTGCGGGCGCCTGCCTCCCGGGCGGCTGAAAGCCATGCCCCTAAGTGGCACCGTAGGGGTAGAAACTTTCAGCCGCCCAGGGTCGGGTGTTGCTAGAAGTACCCCTGGCCCAAGGTAATCCCAGGATTCTGGGGGTGGCCCAGGCTGACTCCAGGGAATCCCTCGCGAGGCCCATAGGACCCCAGGGACTCCAAAATGGAGCGAAAAGCTGGGGGCACCTTGGGCCAGGGGCACTTCTAGCAACACCCGACAGGGGGGCAGGCGTACACAACGGAGGAATCTGTTGTGTTATAACGCTCTTCGCCCGCCAAGCTGCGGTCCGAAAAAAGGGGGAAGCCGCACAAACATGGCTCGTCGATGTTTCCCCGTGGATTTCTTGGATCGGCGCCAGGGCCCTCCTGGCTGCGCCTCCAGCGCCGCCCCTGGCGCGCTCCGCATGCTAGGGAGGGGGGTCCAGCGCAGATCCAAGAACTCCGCGCGGAACTCCGCGGTCTCTGTTTCTTCATCATGGTACATCGACCAAATGTTGCACCACATGGTGCGGACAGCAGAACGCACTGCTTGTGTATCTGACATCTGTTTGCCCCACCCCCCGCCCCCCCGACTTTGATATCGGGCTTAGTCTGGGCTGAACAACATAATAGCTCGGTGGTGCAACATGATGCCAGAAGCCCGTGTGGGGGCTAAAGGCTCTTCGCCACGCATCCAAATATGAAGACCAGGCCACGCATCCGGCGAAGCAAGCATGTCAATTAGGGGCAAGGCTGGTGAAACATGTTGTCGATGCACGGCAGGAAGCGACTCCTGGGAGGTATCTCGTTGGAACGAATGAGGGCTACTAAGCCCGGTTCAAAGGCCGTGCAGCCGAATTAGTCCAGAGAAGGCCCAGGACTAAGCTCGATGACGGCGAACTAAGCGAAATTGAGCGGGAGCATGCCGGAGTAAAACGGTTTTCGACTACGGATATATCAGCGCGGTGCTGATTTGAAGCTCCTAGGAATTGCATCCTAAGAGGGAGGTTAGCGCATCGTGGCCCGAGGCACGTACGCGGTCGAGCGGGGGCTGGGAAGCGTGCTGAAATAGGGAGGGGAGGCGAGGAAATCTGAGGGATGTC